CTTTTATGGCTTCCGAGGATCCAACATATATTTATCGAGAATTCGTAGTCGAATTCTCGTTACGCGGAGACCGTCGATTTCCTCGTGATGTTTACCAGTACGGCACATCGTGTATAAGAAACGATATACCGTTTCTTATAGCCATGCCAATCTGATTTCATCGGAATTTTGTTTATATTCACGAGAATTTGTACTCGAATTCTCGTTACTAGAATTAATAATTCTTCGCAAGGCCGAGCGATACTCTTAACCTTGCAAAACCTCTATCTTTAAACAGTCTGTTTTGGGTATAAAAGGGCGCTCCACCTTAGGACTAGTTTTGACTGATATCTCACTTCGAGTTTTGCTGTCCTATCCTTTCTTGGGTATCTTACAATTGAATTCACCTTTTAGTCAAGTGTGATTCTTGAATTGAAGTGAGGTGGCTGACTTTTCGGGTGGGCCTTCTGCTCCATTTGAGGAATGCCGTTGTCGTAAGCGACCCATGGTCGTTCCGGCACGGCGCACAAACCAACCGACATCAAAGACGGTATCCCGCCTTGGTTCTTCTATATCTGCTGAAAACCTCATGGTTCGAGAAGGTTTCGAGGAGGTGGGTAGGATACCTCCCCACCGAAATGTGCAAACTGCAGCGGAGAGCACACAGCCAATTTCTCTGGCTGCTCTTCGCTTTTTAACTACCTGAGTTTGAGAGACTCAAACAAGATCAAAAACTGCAGTGGTGTTGGCGACTTTCGTTCAAGTCTGGATACACCCATTGATCAACTACCTGCTGCCTCCGGCAGAAATCTGAGGGACATTCACTATGGGTCCTCAATTCAAGATCCAACCTTCTCTCGTACCCCTACTCAGGGGTTCTCTTATTCTGACGCTGTCAAACGCTCTCGACAGCCAACATCAAATCCTCGTGTAAACAGTGTAAATAACCTTAGGAATAATGTAAATAGTTTTAGTTTTAAGGGAATCTCTGCTCTGCAGATAGCTGGAGATAACATTAACGAACTCATTAATGAGTTTAAAATCCTCAACTCTCTCGAAGATGTTGATCTAATGCTTAATACTGTTAGGACATTAAACGCGCAACTAAACGTGCTTTCGGGATCGGTCACTCCTTCATTGTCGGTGGGGATTTCAACGCCAAGCACCGTTCTTGGAACATCTTTCGTGCCAGTCACAGTGGTTTTGCCCTGTATAAACATTACCTTAATAATCCGTACGAGATAATCTTCTACCATAGACTTATTTTTCACATTCGCTAACCGAGCCTTAAAATGTGAGACCAGAGATCCGGGCTCCTATAATCCTTTGTCAGTCCACCAACAGCCTAAATCCTGGGATCGACGCGGTCACTGACTGGCAAAAATATCGCCTGCTCACCGAAGAATTCAACCTGAAAACCGACATCGTTGATGCCGCGGAAATCGATGATGAAATCCGGAGCATCTGCAAATTAATGCACATAGCAAGCATACTAAAATCAATACTTCTACCACCAGGCATGGTTTCTTACATAATGATTCACTTCTTCAAACTTTAATTAATAGAAGAAGGAAGATGCGCAAGTTTGCTAAAAAAAATTGGCGTGTCCCACTTCAACCCAATCATCGATGACCTCACAGCTGCAATTAAACGTCAGATCTCGTATTTGCGTAACAAAGACTGGATTAATAGACTTGGTTCGTTCACCAAAACGAATCATACGTTCTGGTCGACGTACAAAATCCTATCCAGCAAATATTCCAAAATCACACTTCCAAGTTTTAGTAGTAGCGGGCGGACTGTCACATCTGCTCTCGAGAAGATTGAGATTCTTGCGGAACAGTTTGAGTCGGTCTTCACGAATGCTAACTCCGTGACTTCTCCGATGCAGCCGACGATTGATTGGTTCATGGCGGATCTACCTTACATCACTACTACTGCCGCAGAGCTTTACCAGGATCTATCCCCATCCAAGATTTCCCAGATTTTCAAGGGTTTTGGGAACAAGAAGGTCCCGGGTAAAGACGGAGTCTCGGCTCCTATGATGAAGCATGCTTCTTGGAAGTTAGTCAATCAAATCTATCACATATTCAAATTCTGTCTCCTTAACTCATATTTCCCTAAAGCGTGGAAAGTGGCTAAATTTACTCCCATCCACAAACTTGGAAAACCTAAAGACATAGCTGCTAACTATAGACCAATCAGCTTACTGCCGATTTTGAGCAAAGCCCTTGAAATCTTTATTTGCAGGAAAGTAAACACCTTTTGAATAAACGTATTATAATAGATCAACAGTTCGGTTTTCGAAAATCTCACTCTTCAACAAATCACACGAATTGCACAGCATGTGATCAACGGGATAAATACTAACAAATCCACCTTTATGGTGCCGCTCGACCTCGCCAAAGCTTTCGATGCAATCTGACACCACGCTCTGGTTTACAAGCTTCACACCTTGGGCTTCCATGCTATCCTGATGAAAATGATCTTCAATTATCTCTCAGTTAAGGCTGATGGCTTCAGTTCCTCCATACGAGCTGTGTTTGCTGTGTCCAGGGATCCATCCTGGGGCCCGTCTTATTCACCATCTACATAAATGACATCCCTTTCCGGTTCAACTGCATATTAGCGTCGTATACCGACGACACGGCACTGCTCACCTCATCCACCAATGCCTGTGCAAGGCTACAGGATTATATAGATAATCGAATTCTTTACAATCTGGAAGTTATCCCTACATGCTAATAAGAATGAGGCAGTCATTTTCACCAAGAAGCGTGAAGCGCCCACGAACAGGCTGGTCATCCAAGACCTCCCTGTGGAGTGATCGAAGACAGTAACCTACTTAGGGGTTGTACTGGACTCAAAAGTGTCGTAGATTCCGGCTATCACCGACCGAATCACGAAAACCATGAAGATGGTTGGAGCGCTCAAACCCCACATTGCCTACACATGTAACATAAAGACTAGTATTAGGCTGGCAATTTATCGTATGTGCATTAGGCCTGTCGTTACCTATGGCACTTTGATTTGTTGGGATTATATTGCAGACTCCCGCCGGAAATTTGGCGCCCAGCCCCTAAAAGACGGGAAAGCAGTACCGTAGCGCAAACTGCGAGATATATACGGAATAGCGTGTAAGAAAAAATATTGCTGGGTGTCGTTCAGAGGGCCCTACTGGGTCCGGCATCGGTAAACCAAGAGTGGGGGAAAAATCCGGCAGCGGAAAAGGAAAGAGTGGGGAAGAAATCTGACAGCGGAAGACTTCGAGAGCGATTGAAAAATTAATCGTCAATCGAAGTTAATACAATGGGACGGGATTAACCATGGAACCATTTACCGTTTTGAAGGAATGAAACCATTATTGTAAAATTGAAAAATTCGAAAGGAACCGCGCAATAGTAGCTCGAAATGACGGATTGGTAGCGCTAACAGCGACGAAACGTAATAATTTGTGTGTAGTAGATGAGAAAGAAAATAGGGCAATGACTGCGAATAATTCAAATAGTTTGAAACTATTAAAATGGCATCAAAGGTATGGACATGTAAATGTCCATGGTTTAAAGAAAATGATACATGATGATTTAGCCTGCGGTATGGATTTCGAAAGTAGAATGGACGAAATAAATTGTAGTGCAGGATATAAAAATCACATCCAGTCATTTAAGCAATCAAATAACCGCTTGTTGCTATAACAGCTGCGGTGCGTTCACCATCATTACCATTATTCACGTGAACGATTTTATATTGGCATCAAAGAATAAAGTACTGGAAGAAATCAAATCAAAATTAAAATGGTGGGCCTTCGTCAAATAAGTAATACCTTACAAATCCATATTAAACGAAATGGTCCTACGGGAAAAATACGGCTGATGCAGAAGAAATCTATTGCAGAGTTAATTAGAAAGTTTAATATGGAAGAAGCCAAAACAGCACCCACTCCAATTGAACCGAATATGAAAATAATGAAGGAATTAAGCCAGATAACAAAAGAAGAAAAATGCGAAATGATATGCCGACCTATAAAGGAACTAATTGGTGGCTTGCTACATTTAGCCAATACAATAAAGCCAGACATTGTATTCGCTGCTAACGCATTGAGTAGGTTTAATTCCAATCCAAGAAAAGTACATTGGACTATGGCGAAACGTGTATAAAGATACTTGGAAGAAACACCAAATTATGGATTTACGTACTGCAAGGACAAAGAAAATCTTAAAGCTGACACGGGTTCTGATTGGGCCGGAGATACGGTAGATAGAAGATCGTAATGTATTGACATTATGCGACGGTCCTATCAGCTGAAAGTCGAAGAAGCAAACTTCTGTTGCTTTATTGACAATGGAAGCTGAATATGCAGGACCTATCAGAGATATTGCGTAAAGTTATTTACATTAAGGGACTGTTAATTCATATGGGTTTCGAAAAATATGTGCCAAACCCAATTAAAATATTTTGCGATAATCAGAGCGCGATGAAATTGGCGAAGGATGCTGTATTTCATAAAAGAAGCAAACACATTGATATGAAGTATAATTTTGACAATTAATCAAATAATCAATTGAACAAAAAAAAATTGTAATAAAATACGTAAGAACTGACCTGATGATTGCTGATGTCTTTACGAAATCGTTGTAAAAAAAGGATGAACTGTGAGTAAAAATGTTAAATATATGTTAATAGAAAAGTTGATGGAGCAAATCGATAAGAGGAGTTGTGTGCATGTGTATGTGTAAAATGGTAGGATCGATGTACACAATATCGATGGCGTGCCGGTCAATATTTTTCTATGTGCGTTATGGCGTCTCCATAGCAGATACTTAGTTATCATTCGTTTGTTCACGCTATGTGTTGGCTCGTGTGTTATCTTATTCATTTTCATATTAAACGTATATTATTCATAAATAGTGTTCATTCATTTGACCCTAAAACCTAACATACGTTTTAATTAGAAGATAGTAATTTTTAAAACTAGACATCTGCCTGGGAGCATTTACTTCACATGTCCATCTCGGTTTCAGTGAAGAAAGAGATCCCAGTTGGATCCACCGTTCTGATCAACTCGTTCCTGCTCCACCGCGACTCGCGCTATTTCCCTGAGCCGGAGGTCTTTAAACCTGAACGTTTCCTACCGAATGGTAGCAGGTAATCAAAAAACGAATTCCTAAAATAAAACTCAAAAATATGAACCCACCAAAATGGCCAAAAATTTGGGCCTTTTGAAATAACCAAAATAATAACTAAAAATGTGGGCCCACTAAAATTATTTTTGCTAAGTTAACTATTAATAATATATTTGATTCCCTAGTCTGTGTCAAATTACATTCTTCCATTTATTTTCCTTCCATCCTTTCTTTAAGTATTTCAGTATATCCCTATTCCTTATCACTCTATACGATTTATTATACTTTGATATTTCTATCTTTTCTTCATTCTCTCTCTCTCTCTCTCTTGCAATCTTTTTCCTACCTCTCTATTTTTTCTCACAGATCTTACGTCTTTTCCGTTTCATCTAACCTTCCTGAACCCATTTCCTGTATAAAATCCTTTCTTTCATCTCTTTCGCCGAGTTATTCAGCCCTTGTCTTACTCTATTTTCTATCTTCCACAAACACCTCCTGACACATACTCCCTCTTTTCATATTTTCACGCTCTTTTTCCCATTTTAAGCCTTAGCTTATCCCTCGGAGCTTCTGTATAACCCATCTTAAGTACCTCTTTCCATCCCCTCCCCCTTTTCCATCTCTATATCCTGCCACTGACTACACGAGCACATCAAATAACCACACGTTTTACTTTCAGTCACTTCCACAAACTCTTTTGCCCATACCCTTCTCATTTCGCCTACCGCCTTCCTTTCTCAAGATCTGTGAGAAAAAATAGAGAGGTAGGAAAAAAATTGCGAGAGAGAGAGAGAGAGAGAGAGAGAGAGAGTTTCATAAAGAGTTCTCTTCATTCTTCCATTTTGACCTTTTTAGTTCTTCTCCTTTTTCCCTGTTCCCCAGAACATTCCACGCATCCTTTTCCTATTTCACTCTTCCTACTACTTCGATGAATAGCTCTCTCCAATTCCTCTTATCTTCACACACCTTACTGTACTGTGTCCTTTCTCGTGCATACATTTATTTCTCTATTTCTCGTCTTCTCCATCTCCTTAAAGCTGCTCTGCCCTTTAGTTTCTTCCCTTTGCATTCCACATCCCACCATCCCCCTTCATCCTATCTTTCACTCCCTCAACTCTTCTCTACAATTGTCTATTTTTCCTCTCAGTTCTGCCACCAGTCCTTCAACGCTCTCTCCTTTCGATTCCCACTTTTCAGTTTCTTATTTGAATCTCTCTGTTCCTTCCACAGACCAGTTCTATTTTTCCATGAGCCTCTTCTGTTTACCATCTACATAGGCCTCTCCCTCCCTTGTGACTTTCAGTATGACAGAATGGTTATCCGATTCTGTGTTATCCCTTACCCACATCTCCCTTATTTCCTCTTTCATTCTTCCCTATGTTCCTCTTTCAATATACTCTATCACTAAATCACCTCTCGTGCCCGTATAAGTCCATTCACCTTCCTCGTCCCCCTGTAAATTCCCATTAAACATCGGCTACCTCAGCTCTTCTATTCTCTCTAGAAGCTTCCACTTTTCTTTATTTACCTTCCTATCTTTTGACCTTTTATTTCTACCCTCTTTTGCTATTCTTTCACCTCAGTTTCCTGTTCTTGCATTCATGTCACCACCTACAATGACCATTCTCTCCCAACATAGTGCAACATGAGAATGCAAGAATTTGTTGGTGCGGCTGCTTCTTATATAATCACGTGTTGATAATTAACCATCCATGTCGTTAGGCGGGCGGCCTCGCGAATTGGCGCGATTTAACAAATCGGTATTTTCTTTCTGCTCAGGTATCCGTCTTACGCGTTCATCCCATTCAGCGCTGGTTCCCGGAACTGTATCGGCTGGAGGTTCGCCACGATGATCGTGAAAATCATTGTTTTGCACGTCCTTCGAAGCTTTACAGTGGAATCAGTGGAGAGGGAAGGGGATCTAAGGTTCATCTGCGAGCTGGTGCTACACAATGCTGCCGGGGTGAAGTTGAAAATCGTCCCAAGATCATCGAAAGACGACTAACTGAAGTTAATCTCATACGGAGAATAATATTTAATAACAAAAACTATAATAAAGATTTTTCTACGACCATTAGAGAACAGCAACTTCTCAAATTCTTCTGTCTCCTTCTATATCACTCTTCTATCAAAATAAATAAAAGTACAAATAAACTGTACTATTAGTATATTATTAATATTAATATTTGTTAGGGATGGTTGCCATAACCGAGAGCCAGAAGGTGAGAATCAGCTCTTTAAGGACGTTTGTTAGAGATTTTGAAAATGTTGAAAAATTCTGAAAAAATTATATGTTATTCTTGAAATAGAAAAAATGAACTGTTATCTTTTTCAGAATTTTCTACCGTTTTATTATTAAGAAAAATGAATGAGAATATTAGAAATTTAACATGCATTCTTATGGAGACCAAAGTTTATTATAAGAAATAAGTACTTTTTAAATGTACAAATACAAAATAAATGTTATCATCGGATAAATTAACATTTTTTAAATCGTTTAACGAAAGATTGACGAAACTGACCGTTCATTTCTATTCTAAAATTATTAATAAAAACGTAATAAACAGTTTTCGTGTCAGTTGATCGTTAAAATTTCGCAACATCGCTTTCTAGTAAAGCGATGTAAATTTAGCGGTAGGTTTGAACTATCGAATTTTAGATAATGGTACTACGCTACATAATAATTAACGTGGCAAATTGGATAAATGAAATAATGATTACAATTCGATTTATAATTAAGTAATTTTTCGTCCCATTTGTTGAAGATGTTTTATCTTTTTTTTTGCTCGAAAATTTTCCTTTCAATCGTAATTGTGACATTTTGAGGTACGGATTCACAATAAGCAATTTCAATTTGAAAATCTCAATTGCCAACTGTCAAATACTAATTTATCTTAAGTCGTGCTGTTGCCAAGTTTCTTTAAGATTTTTACATAATTTCAATGTGAATATTATTAGAAATTTCTTAATAAAAGAAATTATATTTAATCAAAGAATGAATTTTCAATATTTTACTATTCACGTATGTTATCTATTTATGTTTTTAATGCTTTCGAATAGTTGATATATTAAATAAGTGATGTTGGCATTACTCGATTTTTACAATGTATAAGAATAGGAGACCTCCCGCACCGCTTACCCTTCTAAAACCCTGACAAACGTCCTTAAATAAATGTAAGGAAAGTGTCCTTATAGTATTATTGGATTTAGCGCGTAATTAGATCGGTAAGTCAGATCTCCTAGGATACTAAGACAATAGAATTAATCCACACGTGGCGTCAGAATGATGATGTAAGCCATGAAGCGCACATGTAAAAGTAACTAAGAATTATAAAACTAATTTGTAAAACTAATCGAGAAACATAAATGTGAATAATAACATTGAATGTTGTTTCTTTGTTATTACAGGTAGGATTAATAATTAGTTTAAACCATTATATTGTATTTTTTGTATAAAATAATAAAATCTTTGTAAACAATTCTACTTATTATTCATCGATCAATTAAATGAAATAAATAAGGCATTATATAAATGTACTCTCAGTTTATCCCAAATGAAAACCAAAATCATTTATTGAAAAAGAAGTAAAAGGAAGCCGCCTTCCACTTCCTTCGACCAAATCCTCGGTCTCTGAAAGAATAAAATGAAGGGTTGTTAAATTAGGACCAAAGACTACCAGCCGAGCGGGCCCCGTATACCTCGGGTGCGATGGGGGTGATGGTGTCTCTTTCCCCAGATGCCCCAAACAGGGTGTTCGGGGCGTCATGTGTGCACGGAAACCTGCGGGGGTCGCCGGCGGTCAGGGTGGGGGCGATCTTGCCAGGATTACAACAAGAAGACGACCAGAAAACTTGGAAGACCATCGAATCTACGGACTCCGCTGGAAACCAAGGGACAAGTCCAGAAGACCGTCTTAGCTGGTAGCCTACATTGAAGAAATCCAGGGTAAGAGAAGCTGGCTTTCACGGAATACCGGAATCCATTCCCTATCATTTCGAGTGACGAAGAATCCATATCCATGGCAAATACGTCCAACTACCTTGAAGAAACTATTCAAGCCCTTACTAAATCGGTCCAAGTCTTCAATGAGAACTTCGGAGTGTTAATGGCCGAAAACGAGAAGAGGAAAGAAGAGATGATGAATCTTCATGGATTATTAAAACCCATCCTCACGGATGATGACGCCGTCACCCACCACGAGGACGTCGCCTCGGACATCCCTGTCGGAGAACGCCCGGAGGGAAAAACCGCCGAGAAGACCCAGCACGTTCGCCGCCAAATATCTCAACCCACTCAACCTACTACGCGCCGATGGAGTACCGAGGAAGCCAATCCTTCAGCAGGTAGCAACCACCATACGGACGCCAGGTATGAGACACCACAATTACAAAAAGCGAAAGACGTCATTGACATTGTCGAACAGCTTAAGGGTCGTGACGACTCCAGGATAGAAAATTGTATGCGAATGCTCGAACTGGCTAGGTCATTGTGTGCTGATCCTGAAATTTTATTGTATAAAGTCGTTGCCACTAAAATCATAGATCAAGCGAAGCGTAGCATACGACACTTGCGAATCGTGTTTTACGAGCGCTACGGACGTACGTGCTTCCCGTCGTACCGACCGACTCCGTGAGAGGAAAATTGCGTAACGTGACGCAAGGAAAAGTAGAGAGCGTTTTAAATTATACTTTTTGGTTTAGACAACAACTAAATGAGTACCGATACGCGATTCAAAACGAACTTACGTCGTCGATGGTGAGACAAGTCAGCCTCAACGCCGCGGACAAAGAGGCCACGCGAATGTACGTTCGGAATCTGCGTCACGAGATCGGAGTGTTAGTATTCCCTAATAAATCCAGTAGCATCACGGAGGCACAAGGGTACGCACAAGGAAGCCGAAATGTGGGACCGGGAATCTAGGAACAAACATCGGACCGCGATACCCGATAATAGACTGACTCCTGTACGCGTAGATAAATCTGCGAGCCAGAAACCTACGCGTACGTTTAGCAAACCGGACGAGACCGTGCCGCAAAACCAACGCGCACCTGTAAAATGTAATCGTTGCGGAAAATTAAGACATTACGCGAATCAATGCCAAAATTTTCAATTCGCGCCTCAAATAAAGCCGCCACCGCGGGTGAATCAAATCTGCGACGAACCGGAAACAGATATCCAAGAATCGCTAACGCCAGATCGCGATCAGGAAGACTACGATTCGTACGAATGCGTCTTGGGGACCGACACGTCGGACGATTTCTCATGGACACAGGAGCAGGATTAAATTTAATTAAAGAAAAATACTGTAAGGGTCGCAAACCTGTAAACAGAGCACGGACATTTTTAATGGGCAACGACAAGCACATCAGTAACAAAAGCATTTCGTTAGAAATATTCGCCTGGAAAGATTCCTTTAACGTGGTACCAGACGATTTCCCATTACTATAAGACAGTATAATAGGGCTTCCTTTCCTAGACCAGTACGACTATGGCATTACTAACGACAAAGTGACCTTAGACGGACGGACCGTAAAACATGAAACCGAGATCCTTATCCTACCAAATAACTCGTGCACCGCAAAGATCCCCATTAACGACCGTGTCCACTTAGTCCATCTTTGCAACCCCACCGACGAGCTACTCACATACCCAATTAATAACTGAAACCTCGCCTTGCCAAAACGAATCGACATCCTAAGAAACAAGATAAATTTACAGCATATGGATCCAACCCTGAAATCGGGTTTAGAGAAAATAATAATCTCGTACAGCGATATATTCTCGTACGAAGACGAACCCTCGTACAAATTTAACTAAACACGTAATCGAGCTTAGAACCCAGAAACCAATTAAGTTAAGACCTCCCGAAGTGCACAAAGACGAAATCGACAGACAAATTAAACAAATGTTGAGTCAAAGGATCATAGAAGAATCCGACTCACCTTATAACTCCCCGATATGGATAGTACCAAAGAAATTAGACGAAACAGGGAAACGGAAATGGAGACTAGTAATAGACTTCAGACGATTAAACCAGGAAACAGACCAAGATACCTATCCCCTATCAGCAATAGAAGAAATTCTAGATCACTTAGGAAAATCTAAATTCTTTTCCGCCTTAGATCTGAGTTCTGACTTTCATCAGATAGCCATGGACGAAGGGTCAAAGAAATACACCGCGTTTAGTACACCACAGGGATACTTCCAATACCGTAGAATGTCATTTGGCTTAAAAAACGCTCCAGCTACCTTTCAACGCATGATGGACAATGCTTTGCGAGGACTCATTGGAAAAATTTGTTTCATATATCTAAACGACATAGTCATATTCGGCACCACCATGGAAGAGCACAATCGAAATCTAGCCACCGTGTTTCAACGACTTAGAGATCTAGGACTCAAACTCCAACCCGATAAATGCAAATTCCTCAAGCCCGAACTATAATATTTAGGACATGTCGTAACAGCAGACGGAGTAAAGCCAAACCTCGATAAGATAAAAGCCGTTAAAGAATTCCCTACTCCAAAATCCGAAAAGAACGTACGGTCCTTCTTAGGAATTGCCGGGTATTATCGAAAGTTCATTAGAAATTTCGCGAAAATCGCCAAACCCCTGACAGATCTCACGGGAAAGGGCACCCAAAAATCAACACAACAAAAATCCTTTGACATACTGAAAGAAAAACTTTGCGAATCCCCTATCCTCAAATATCCAAATTTCAATAAACCTTTTATGCTGATAATTGACGCCTCCAACTCTGGGTTCGGAGCGATCCTATCCCAAGAAGGACACCCCTGTTGCTATATTAGTAGAACGCTAAACAAAGCCGAAAATAATTATACTACCACTGAGAAAGAAGTATTAGCTATCGTATGGGCTGTAAAGCACTTACGACAATAGCTACTAGGAAAGAAATTTAAAATCCTGACCGACCACCAAGCTCTGAAATGGCTATTCAACGTAAAGGATCCTTCATCCAGATTATTGCGTTGACGATTATGGATGGAGGAATACGACTACGAAATCGATTACACTAAGGGCAAAGAAAATATAGCAGCAGACGGTCTATCCCGCATGTATCCCTTACTTCCAGGAGACGAACCCGAAACCGACATAGTTACGAATTCAAACACGGACGTTAATATAGACGAATTAGAACGCGCTCAACTCGCGACCGAATACGAAAATTGGAAACAGAATGCCGACCCCACTTATATTTTACCGACTCGACCTAATCCCGTTGGCAAAGTTTGGAAACCCTTGCATAAAGCCATGCTAGGACCATACGATCCAATGAAATAGCTATTAAAACTAGACAGAATCATTCAAACCACAATAGAACAACGCCGCTCAGTCTTAAAATTGTACCTACCAGAACCCATGAGATTAACGAAACTTCTGGAACTGCGCCAGATCCTTAGTTACTTGGGATACCGATATTCGGATCAAATCGAACTTGTATTTTCGGAAAGCCAAACAGAAT